ACTGTCTGCTACTCCATAAAGAGGTACAGTCTTGGAACGTCACAGGGACAGTCCTACCCTGTCCTATTGGGTCTTTCTGAGTCAGCATTGACTCGATGGCAGTGGGATGTGTTTATTTTTTCTAACCGAAGAGCACTGAAGTAGATTTAGAAGATATTTGGGGTTGACTTTCATCCCTAAGAATTGCATCCTAACCTGTATGCTCATTTGCCCGCCATCTATAAAGATCTTTATTTTTCCTTCCTGTTTTCCTTGGTGGTTATTGCTCCATTTATCTCGCTGATTCCGTGTTAAGGATTTTAGATATTGTGGAACAACAATTGTGTCGTAATGCTTACTCCCCCTGTTGCCCAGGCTGTGAATCATCCTTTATCATCCACTGAGATAAGGATCAGAGACCTGGAGAGGCGAGGAGATGTGGATAGCATCTGAAGGCTTTGGGGGCAGATGTGGGAATGTGTTCTACTGGGCAGGAGTGAGGCAGATACAAGGAAGAATTTTGCTTTGTGGATGCATGAGGCATATTCACCTTTTGCGATAGCAGATGGATTTCCAGCTCTTTGTGTATGTAGAGAAAAAAGATCCCAATATTTATTGGATATTTTCAGTATTCATGATGTATTATAAATAGAAGAGTATTTTCATTTCATTTTGCTTACTTAAATGTTTAAACAGCTATGTCAGCATTAGCCATCAGTGTAAAAGAAATGTTAACTAAAGAATGAAAAGCCACAACTATTGGAATGGACAAAAGAGGAGATTTGAACCTTAGTGTACACGGAGCACACATCCATGATTGTGTGTTTGTGTGCACTTAAAAAAAAAGTCAAATTGTGTGAAGCAAGGTTATCAGCACCAACACTCGAGGCCTCCAGAAGCCTACGAAGGAATCCTGGCATTTTGTGAAAGTGTTTTGGATAAATTCTAAGTAGGTTCCCTGGTGACATAGGGTTTACTCATTGGGCTGCGATCTCAAGCTCAGCAGTTCAAAACCACCAGTTGTCCTGTGTTGGAGCAAGATGGGGCTTTCTACTCCCATAAAGTGTTGCGGTCTCAGAAACTCACAAGGGCAGTACTCCCCTGCCCTACAGGGCCACTAGGAGTTGGCATTGACTGGATGGCAGTGAGTTTTTATTTTATTTTATTTTTATACAGAGTTAACTCTTGAGTATTTTAAGAGCCATGTGCTGAGCAATCATCAATTTACATTTTGGTGCCTTCTTTCTGTGTTAGGGCTTGGTAACGCTACCTGCCAAGAATCAAGTTGTCAGATTCAAATGCATTTAGAGCTTTGATATGGCTCAAAGAGAAAAACAATGAAAACAAATATTTTCTTATTTGCATGTTAGCAAATGAGAGTTTCGCTTTGCCTGTATTATCAAGTACAAAAAACGTTGGCCTATACTAAGCTATATAGTATATGGACCGTGGCTTAGTTGAGCTGTCTGGGGAAATAGATTTTCATGAAGAAAGCTATGAATGCATTTACTAGCATGCCTTGATGTTTGTTTGTTGGAAAGAGGTAGGTGTGCAATTACAA